TTTGCAATAGCAATCATAAATATGAATGCTTGTCGTTTATTTGAAGAAGGGGTACAAATGAAAAGATTTGAATTTGAATTGTTTTTCTCCATTTCACTGAAGCAAACGTTAAAGACTTCTACCTTTCCTTCTTTCTTTTATTTTCTCACTGAAACCAAGTAGCGTCTTTGATATGTCTTTTGTCTTCTCACGTGATCGAAACGGAATAGCCCATTATTTATGAGGTATCAGCAGGAGACATGAAACCATCCTATTTCTTTCTTTCTTTTTTACTGAAACCAAGTAGCGTCCCTGATATGTCTTTTGTGTTTCCTCGTGATCAAACCGGAATAAATAGAGGTGTTGGCAGAGCGTAACGGTCGTGCGAATTAATAAAGGAAGAGATATGCACAATTATTAGATGATGATGGTGTGTGATACAATCTTGCTAGAGAGTAATTTTAAGTGCCTAATTATCAAGTCCGCTTCGGGGGTCTATGAGTAAAAAGGGTTCTATACAATTTTTATTTATACACATGTTAGGTACCTATTCTTTGGTAATGGACTCTCCCATAGATAATAAGTAGGAGTAGCAGTGGCAAGTCTGGCAGAATGGTGTTGAGAACGTCAGTCGAGATTCGGACATTTGAAGTACCAACCATCACAACTAGATTTGCTGCGTCATTGACTATTATTTTCTAAGTTCCTAACGTTTTGTACGACTTATTAGAAATACAAGCCTCCACTGTGAAAATACTCCATAACAACACATTTGAGACGTTTTGTTTGGATGGCGAGGGTTTTGCGGATAATATTTGCAGTTCCGCACAAAGTAATCTTTTGTAGCTTTGCTAATGTGTCCAGGAATTTTACTCACATAATTTTCGGTACCATTCTTTACCATGCACAATCCTCATATCGCAACAGAGATAATCATAGTTTTAAGCTTCCACATTTTGTTACTTCGATTTGCAGGTCTGTTGGAATCCGTCTAACCAGGTTTCTGTTGCTGAATGTCAGGATTCCAAATATTTAACAACACATCTTTTAAATCAAATGTAAAAAAAAAAAGTTTTTTCCTGGGGGGAAAAGTAGAAGCCGAATATCAGTTAAAATAACATTTATATATTCATTTCAGAAATATACAATAACAATAAAATGTTCAATTTTCCTTGTAGTGAAGTTTGTTTTATAAAGTAATTAAGTGTTCTTAGTGTGTTGTGTGGACAGACTTACTTTATGATAGTCAACCTAATGTGTTTGTGAGTTCGTAGACAAGTCTGGTTAGTCGGCAGTTGCTGGTTATTGTATGTGTCCGCACATGTAGATCAAACTCCGAAATTGTTTTGAACCCCGAGACGCAGTATGCTTCTATTTTTATATCGTAAGTGAGATCCGGGATCTAATTTCACATAAAGGAATGAACATTTTGAATAGAATGTTTTCATTAGTTAGAAAATAATTTCACACTGGCTCGCGAAAATCTTTTTCTCGAATTTGCAGGAGTGGTGAAGGGAGTTAATATTACGTAGATCTGCGATACTGATGTGTCCAGGAATTTTACTCACATGATTTTCAGTAACTTTTTATTCTGATACACAATGCCCCTAACACAACAGGGATAATCGTAGTTTTAAGTTTCCACATTTTTGTTACTTCGATTTACAGGTCCTTATAATTTGACAGTTTCTGAAATCACACGTTTTACATAGCTAAAGCCCTTCGTAATGCATGAACGGATGGACCCTTTTCCAATCAATCTGAGGGCTCCAACTACAACTGGAATGATTGATGTTTTCCACTTCAAGATCCTTGAATTTCGATAGTTTTTTGAAGATCCTCAAAGATACATTACAATCTACAGGGATTGCCATGTCAATAAGAAAGCACATTCTCTTCTTGTGGTCTTTGCACACGATAACTAGGCGATTATTATTATTATTATTATTAGTAATAGTAGTAGTAGTAGTATTGTCGTTGAAATACATTAAGTAAAAAATAGAAATTTTAGATTTGTTGGGCTTTCAAAAGTATTCCTAAAAGTTGCAAGTAGTGTAATTATAGAATCTCTACGCTTTCAAAAGAATCTGAAAAAAATTGCGAATAGTAGAATTTTTTTTAAGCGTTTCGCCCCAAGCAAGGGGGGAAACGACTAGCACGCAAGGGGTTACAGAGAGTTGGAGTGAGAACAAAGAGGAGTGATAGAGGAAAGGATGAAGAGAAGGATAGGGGATAGATCAGGGCATCTGGTGACGTCGATTGACATTACATTTGAATAGTTGTAGATTATAGCTATCAGGGAAACGGGAGGGAGTTCCACAGGCGAGAAGTGCGAGACATGAAGCTATTGGAGTAGAAGAGACGGCTACATTTAACAGTTTCGACCGTGAAAGGTTGAGAGCGAAATGCCAGCCTAGTTGAGCGCTTAAATTCACGAAGTGTGGGAACCAGCGAAAGCAGCTCATCGGAGCAGTTACCGTGAAGATATTTGTAAAAAAAGACAGAGGGAGGCGACTGCACGTCTGTGAGAGAGCGACTGCAGACGAGATGCCAGATCAGGGCCAATTACGTTGCATATCCGTCTCTGGATCTTATTCAAAATGTAATATCGCCGGGCTTTCAAAAGTATCCCCACAAGTTGCAAGCAGTGATAATTCAGAATGTAGAATCTTTGGGCTTTCGAAATCCGCCCTAAACGTAACAAGTAGCGAAATTGAAAATTTCCAATAACTGCTTTTTTTTTTTTAAAGTAACCCCAGATGTTGCAAATAACGACATTCAACATTTAGAATCCGTTGCGTTTGAAAAGAATCCCCCCTCCACTTCAAAACAGCGGAAATCGAAAGTGAAAATCGTTGGGCTTCCATATTATCAAAACCTAGCAATCTGCGTTAAATAGTGATCTGCGACCTTGTCGATATTACAACCGCGTATCGCCTCCCTTGTTAGACTGACATTTAGTTTCATAGGCCTGAATCTGAGGACGGAACCGCCATCTTGTCTACAGCTAGCATTTATCACTGACTCGTAATAATAAATAATGTATAAATGACAATAAGTAGATATACAAATCGGCTTTTCTTCCTTAAAAGTAAGCTAAATGAAACGCAGACATCTATACACATACCTGCCTATATACACATGATCAGATATATATTTTCAAAGACTCGTAGGTCTGAAAAATACACATGAAAACATGCGAGCAGGATAAGAAGAGAGGGTATGTAAAACAAAGTAAAAGTATATATATATATATATATATAAAATATATGTGTGTGTGGGTGTGTGTATCTATTTATATAAGAGGATTACTTCTCTTGCTTTCAGCCCATCTGTCGACCTGTAAGGCAACTTCCTTCTACGTTCTCCTAAGAAACATTTCTCTAATGTAAAGAGATTGTCGACGTAGCAAGAGGCTTATTGTTCATCACTGCGACGATTGCTGAAGAGATTGGAGTGTTTCTTGAACTTGTGCCTTGGACAAGAGGTTTGTTGACATTTATATGTGCTACCAAAGAATGGGAGAGTAAAAAAAAATAGAAACGATTTAAAAAAAAAAAAAGGAAAAAGAAAAATACCGACAAAGAAAAAAAAATAGTTTGCACACGGATTGGATGAAAGAAGACAAAGGTTGGTGGTAGGAGTGGCGGCTAGCGATGAAAACACTAGGAGGGAGAAAATGAAAGGGTGGGACGGAAATAAAAAAAAAAGAACAGTAGAAAGAAAGAAAGTAAAAAGAAAGAAAGAAAGAAAGAAAGAAAGAAAGAAAGAAAGAAAGAAAGAAAGAAACAAAAAAGAAGGTGAGAAATAAATCGTAAACAAAAATTGCAGTGGTAGAATAAGGAAAAGAAAGAAAAAAGAAAGAAAGAAAGAAGGAAAGAAAGAAGGAAAGAAAGAAGGAAAGAAAGAAGAAAAGGGTAATAAGGAAAAAAAAGAAAGAAACAATCAAACAAATGTCGACGGAAAATTACAAAGGTGTAATAAGAAAAAAAGGAGAAAGAAATTGAAAGAAAGAAAAAGAAGGAAAAAGCAAGGAAAAATTACGAAGTTTATGTCAGAAAGAAAGAAAGAAAGAAAGAAAGAAAGAAAGAAAGAAAGAAGGAAAGAAAGAAAGAAAGAAAGAAGAAAAGGGTAATAAGGAAGAAAAAGAAAGAAACAATCAAACAAATGCCGACGGACAATTACAAAGGTGTAATAAGAAAAAAAAAGGAAAAAGAAATTCAAAGAAAAAAAAAGAAGAAAAAAGCAAGGAAAAATTACGAAATTTACGTACGAAATTTACGTACGAAAGAAAGAAAGAAAGAAAGAATGCAAGAAGAAAAAGGTAATAAGGAAAAAAAAGAAAGAAACAATCAAACAAATGTCGACGGAAAATTACAAAGGTGTAATAAGAAAAAAAGGAGAAAGAAATTGAAAGAAAGAAAAAGAAGGAAAAAGCAAGGAAAAATTACGAAGTTTATGTAAGAAAGAAAGAAAGAAAGAAAGAAAGAAAGAAAGAAAGAAAGTGTCAGACAAATGTTAAACAAAAGTTGCGATGGTAGAATAAGAAAAAGAAAGAAAGAAAGAGACAAACAAATGGTAAACAAAAATTGCAATGGTAGAATAAGGAAAAGAAAGAAAGAAAAAAAGAAAGAAAGAAAAAGTAATAAGAAGAAAAAAAGAAAGAAAGAAAAAAACAACTGGCAAAAAACAATTACGAGTTTACAAAGAAAAAAGAAAAAGCAAAGAAACATTACTAAGGTCATGTCCGGAAGAAAGAAGGAAAGAAATGAAGAGAAACACAAGAAGAAAGGAAAAAAAAATACAAACAAATGGTAAACAGAAGGTGGAAAAATGAAAGAAAAAGAATGAAAGGAAGAAAGAGAATGAATAAAAATTATAGAAATAAAAAAGTAAGACATATTACGAAAGTAGAATAAGAAAGAAAGAAAGAAAGAAAGAAAGAAAGAAAGAAAGAAAGAAAGAAAGAAAGAAGAAAAAGGTAATAAGGAAGAAAAAGAAAGAAACAATCAAACAAATGCCTACGGACAATTACAAAGGTGTAATAAGAAAAAAAAGAAAGGAGAAAGAAGTTGAAAGGATGAAAAAGAAGGAAAAAGCAAGGAAAAATTACGACGTTTACGTAAGAAAGAAAGAAAGAAAGAAAGAAAGAAAGAAAGAAAGAAAGAAAGAAAGAAAGAAAGAAAGAAGAACGTGACAATCAAATGGTAAACAAAAGTTGCGACGGTAGAATAAGAAAAAGAAAGAAAGAAAGAAAGAAAGAAAGAAAGAGAGAAACAAAGAAAGAAAGAAAGAAAGAAGGAGAAAGAATGAAAAGTAAAGAATAAGAAAGGAAGAAGAAAAAGTAATAAGAAAGAAAAAGAAACAAAAATCAATTGGCAAAGAACAATTAGCAGTGTATAAAGAAAAATGAAAGAAAAAAGAAAGAATGTAAAAAAAAAAAAAACAGAAATATTACGAAGGTTTTGTCGGAAAGAAAGAAGGAAAGAATGGAAGAGAAATATAATTAGAAAGAAAGAAAAATTACAAAAGGAAATTACATCGATCGCTGAGATAAGCAAGCAAGAAAGAAAGAAAGAAAGAAAGAAAGAAAGAAAGAAGGAAGGAAAAGAAAGAAAAAAAGAAAAGATAGAAAAGACAAAGAAACATTGCATAAGTCAGATAAGAAAAGAAAGAAAGAAAAACAAGCAAACAAATAAAAATTACGAAGATAGAATAATAAAAATAATAAAGTAAAACAGGAAACATAGAAACAACTTATTATAACCGTTACTTGAAACAACAGTAACGTTGTCTAGCAGACCATTAATACTGTAGCAAAATCCGTCAACATGTTTCTGGCCTTGTGCCAGACTCAATGGTCTCAGTATATAAACTGAAGAAAATGACATTGAAAAATAAACTACAATTAACAGAAAAATAATAACGAACAACAACAATAAAAAAATAAACAGATGAATAAAAATAGCTAAATATAGCAAAGGAAACAATTTTTAAATGAGTGTTGACAAGTTCTCGGTCAAACCAAGAACGGACTTGAAAAAAAAATGAAGGAAAATTGACGTTATCCCATTGTTATATCAATATTTAGAAAACTTGGCGGGGAATCAGTTTAGTACTTCAGAACAACAGAAAACAGACCCCCACTTATTTTACCCCACGTTTACTGATAGCATTAAGTCCTTTATTTCATGAAGTCATTAGAATGTTTTCATATGCGCCTCTTTAATTATATTTGTACAATTACAATATTATGTAGTAATTCGTGAACGGGGGGGGCGCAGTTTAGTACTTAATAGCAATATGAACCAATCCCCCACTTAGTGTTCAATAGTATCTCATTAATGCTAGTCTACTGATAGCATCAAAATTGACAGCATATTTTATGAAATCCTTTCTATTATTAGAATGTTTTCACATGTGACTCGATAATTATACTTGTCCTTTTATTATATTAATATGTAATAATTTATGAGGGAACAGTTTACTACTTAATTACAATAGAAAACAGATCCCCCACTTTATGTCCATTAGAATCATATTAATTCTAGTCTACTGATATCATCGAGATTGACAGCCTATATTATGAAGTCCTTTCTATTATTAGAATGTTTTCACATGTGACTCTTTAATTATATTTGTCCAGTTCTTATATAATTTGTATTACTTATGGGGGATCAATTTAGTACTTTATTACAATAGAAAACAGATCCCCCACTTTATGTCCATTAGAATCCTATTAATACTTATAGTCTACTGATAGCATCAAAACTGATATATTCAATGAAACGTGCATGAAAGAAAGATGGCTGCTAAAATACACAAATATATATATATATATATATATATATATATACATGAATTATTCACACAAAACTTATGCAAAGGTTAATGATTTAAATGGCGAGACATCCATCTCGCAAACAATTCAAATAGTACACAAAAACCTCCAGATCCGTTATGAATGAATTGAGAATCTTATTACTAAGAGAAAAAAACAAGAACAACATCTATTATATACCTGAAGATGTCTGTAGGAACAGACGAAAGCTTGTAGTAAAATAACAACTAATACGGCAGAAATTTATATAAACAAGGATCAATTCATTCATAACGGATCTGGAGGTTTTGTGTACTATTTGAATTGTTTGCGAGATGGATGTCTCGCCATTTAAATCATTAACCTTTTGCATTAGTTTTTGTGAATAATTCATGTATTTGTAAATTGATTGCACGTTTATTTATATATATATATATATATATATATATATATATATATATATATATATATAAACTACAGAAGAACTCAAAATTGATCGCTCCATGTAAGTATTGCATTAATATTTAAGCTTACATTTTAAAAAAGTTCAACGATTATTCTTTTGCCGACATTTAATTTAAACACAATTTGATGTACGTAGGTCCTCACTTTCCGTACAAACAATTATTTTTATTTCATGTGTGACTTTCACTGGATTTCGCAATTAATTTCGATTATTCCCAAAATTTATTTACAAGATATAAAAATTGTTATCGTATAAAAATTTCGTCGCAAAAGTTGCGTAAAAATTCGCCGAAAATGATCGCAGTACTGAAAACTTGGGAATCCCAAATCTCAGGTTTGCGGGTTCGAATTCGGCCTGGAATGTTTTTAATTTGCTCACGGTATGATATGTTGGGCTATGACCTTTAGGAGTAAAGTTGAAAAAGTGTGACTCACTGACATAAAATTGAAAAATTGTGACACACTGACATTCGCGTTTGTTATATATATATATATATATATATATAGGAAAGAACTGTTAGGTTAATAATCCAAAGGTCTTTAGTATTTTGTTTTTTATTTTTAAAAAACAGTGCTCAATACATAAGTAGAGTCTGAATAATAATTATTTTTTAAAATATGATTCCATCACTACATAAGGGTTCTCCTGTATCAAAAATAGAAGCTAAAAAAAAAACAACTCTATTTCATTTTTGAAACGCATGGCACGGTGGGTAAAGCAGTTAGTTAAATCCAGTGCCAGGACCTAAAGAGTGTGAGTTCAATACCCGGTTAAGGCAGTGGAGAACTTGGTGAGGGAAATTAACAGGAGATAACTGATAACTGACATCCATTAGACATGGTACGTGGAACTAGAACAGACTACTCCGGTGAGCGAAATAAAATGTTCAGTTCGACATTCCAACCACCTGAAGAAGGGCGGAGCGTACAACGGCCGAAACGTTGTAATAAATATGTCGACAAAGATGAGGACAATAGTCCGAATAATGTAAATAATGTACATTGATAAAAATCGCCCGCGGACACCGGAAAGTTCAAATCAATGCAGCAAATTCAGCTGACCTCCTGATTTTTAAAGTTAAAAGCTAGACGCACCCCCCATATATATATATATATATATATATATATATATATATATATATATATATGAGCAACAATCCTTCTTTCATGCACGTTTCATTGAATATGACAAACAATGTGTTTCAATTTAGTTTTTTTAAACAATTTCTTATGTAATCTTATATTTTTTTCTCTTCCGTAGATAAATTATATAAAAATTGTCCAATTGTTTTTTTTTTCCGAGCGCTTTCGGCTATACATTTAGCCATTTTCAAGGTTGAAATATATTAACTGTTGACAAGAAATAGATTGTTGTATGTATGTATTTATATAATGTTTTCATCTTCAAAACACGGTCAATATATGTTCATAGTTGATATTATTGAGTATTGTTATTTTTTTTTTGTATTAATGAGGCTTCCATTATTTTCAGCCTTTTTTTTTTTTACATGTAAACGATGCAATTTTATTTGTGTTATCAATAACTATGTTACGAATAGGGTCCAGTAGGTCTCCATGAGTATTTAAATGAAACCTAATTGAACTATGATCAGGAAAATGTAGTGTGAGTCTTCATGTCGGACATGTAGTAGTGCGACCTATATAATTTTTTACTAATGTTGATTGATCAGCAAGACAAATGGATATTTAATTTGATAAATAATATTTGTACTATTTAATTTAGTTCTAAGAGGTAAATTATTAAATATATATATATATATATATATATAATAATCGACTCTCCCGTCGCGTTCGACGTATGAGGGCCAAGCCGATAAGTCCCCAGGAAACCGACGTCCCGACACCGGCACATGGGATTTGTTTATAGTGGTGAAGGCCTTGTGCAGTACCAGCCACACTTTTTGGAGGGACGAATACAGGAAACTGGTGCACCGAATACATGCCACAGGGTTCCCAAACGACCCTCCGCAGGTTTTGAATTCAGAGTTGTCCTTCTCCTAGACCAGTTGCCATCCAAGGCTATAGAACCCAGTCTGTCCTGCTATTTTACCCATAACTGGAGGGAGATGAAGAGGATACATACCTTTCCCAAGGGTATTAGCACGTAAGTGAATGCAGTGGATTCGACTGGAATTCGAACTCGGCTCTGCGATTCCTCAATCCAAGCCGCCAACCACTGCTCCACCGTGCCTCCTCTATATATATATAGTGTCACCCACAGACGTCTGGTTATATATATATATATATATATATATATATATATATATATATATATATATATATATATATATATATATATATATATATATATATATATATATATATATATATATATATATATATATATATGTGTGTGTGTGTATGTGTGTGTGTGTGTGTGTGTGTGTCTGTTAGAGAAAGGAAATTAATTACAAACGAAGTGGCATACAAAAAGATAATAAAAATAAAATCGATTTCATCGATCTGAAGTAGAAATATCGATTGAAAGGAGAAATGTAATTCATGAGTATCTAACCAAATATGAATGAAAGGATAGAGGAAATAACAATGAAATTTCAAAGTAAAACGAAAGAAAAGAAAAAAAGAAAAGATGTCTGAAAATGTACGAAGGAATGAAAGAATGAAAAAGAAAGCGTGAAAAAGTGAAAGAAAAAAAAGGAGAGAAAAAACTAAGAAGAAAAAGAAAAATGCGGAAAAATTAATGGAAGGAAGGAACGTAAGAAGAAGGAAAAGAAAAGAAAAGAAAAGAAAAGAAAGGTTTTGTTTGATCTAGTTTGGTTTGGTTTGGTTTGGTTTGGTTTGGTTTACGGCATATCAATCTAAATGGTTATTTAAGGCGGGCAATTTTTATTGCTGATAATGTTTTTTTTTTTTCTTAAAAAATCTATTTCTGGTAATCTGCCTTTTCTACAAATACTTTCACGATAATTGCCCCGATGAGCTACTTTCACTGGTTCGCAAACTGAATAAATTTAAGCATGCTACTAGGTTGGCATTTCGGTCCCAACCTTTCAATGTCGAAACGGTTAAATGGAGCCGTCTCTTCCAATAGCTTCATGTCTAGAACTTCCTGTCTGTGTAACTCCCTTCCTCTTACTTGCTTCTCTGATAGTTATAATCACCAAATATTCAAATGGAATATCAATCGACATCTTCAGATTGTAAAGGGCCGTGTGGGTTTGTGGGTTGTTAAATTAGGAATACGTGCTGTTTATTTCCTGCTAGAAGAAGGCCCAACTACAATAAAAATGGCTCAAACTATGTCCAACCGAAGATGAAAAGAAAACAAACAAGACCGATATATATATATATATATATATATATATATATATACAGGTGCTTCCACCCCGGGTCAGGGTGGATCTGGGAACACCAGCAATTAAGAGCGGGTTCCGCGCTCCTTAAAACCTCCTGATCAGAGGCCTTGCTGTCGGATGTAATTTATCATCTTACCCAGGACGCGGATGTAGTTTATCGTCTTACCCCGGACGTGGATGTAATTTATCGTCTTACCCAGGACGCGGATGTAATTTATCGTCTTACTCCGGATGCGAATGTACTTTATCGTCTTATCCCGGAGGCAAATGTAGTTCATCTTCTTACCCAGGACGCGAATGTACTTTATCGTCTCACCCAGGACGTGGATGTAGTTTCTCGTCTTACCCAGGACGCAAATGTAGTTCATCGTTTTACCCAGGACGCGAATGCAATTTATCGTCTTACTCCGGATGCGAATGTACTTTATCGTCTCACCCAGGACGTGGATGTAGTTTATCGTCTTACCCAGGACGCGGATGTAATTTATCGTCTTACCCAGGAAGCAAATGTAGTTCATCTTCTTACCCAGGACGCAAATGTAGTTCATCTTCTTACCCAGGACGCGAATGTAGTTTATCGTCTTACTCCGGACGCGAATGTACTTTATCGTCTCACCCAGGACGTGGATGTAATTTTTCGTCTTACTCAGGACGCGGATGTTGTTCATCGTCTTACCCCGGACGCGGATGTAGTTTATCGTCTTACCCAGGATGGGATTTAATTTATCGTCTTACTCCGGACGCGAATTTTGATCATCGTCTTACCCAGGACGCGGATGTACTTTATCGTCTCACCCCGGACGTGGATGCAGTTTATCATCTTACCCCGGACGCAGATGTAGTTTATTGTCTTACTCAAGACACGGATGTAGTTTATCGTCTTACCCAGGACGGTATTTAATTTATCGTCTTACTCCGGACGCGAATTTTGATCATCGTCTTACCCAGGACGTGGATGTACTTTATCGTCTCACCCCGGATGTGGATGTAGTTTATCATCTTACCCCGGACGCAGATATAGTTTATCGTCTTACCCAAGACACGGATGTAGTTTATCGTCATATTCAGGACAAAAGAAAAAGGGAAGAGTTGTAGGAAAAGGAGAAGAATAATAAATAAGGGAGGAATGAATAAAAGTTGGAAAAAATTAATAATGAAGCGGGAAACCTGAGAAAGAAAAGAAGGAAGAAAGCAAAAACGCAAAGAAGGATGGAAAGAAAGAAATAAAGAATTAAAGGAAATGAAAAAAGGAGAAGAAATGAAAGAAAGAGAGAAGAAATGATAGAAAGTGGGAAAGGTGTAATGAAATTTATTTATATATTATTGAATGAATTATTGAATGAGAGAATGAAGGAAGGAAAGAATAACGCAAAAGGAAGAAAGATGGAAAGAAGGAAGAAAAAAGGAAATGAGAAAAAGAGAAAGAGAGAAAGAATGCTGAAGGATGGAATGAAGTTAAGGAAGGAAAGAAGGAATGATGGCAGGTTAGAATGAGAGAATTAAGCAAATATAAGAAAAGGGGAAAATGAATGAAAGAAAGAAAGAAAGGAGCAAAGTGGAAAAGAAGGAATGAATTAAATAAGAACTGAATGACTAAATAAATGAATGAGGAAGGTTTTAAAATGCACAAAGATAAAGAAGAAACCATGAAGTAAAAATCAAGAAAGAAAACTGGGTGAGAAAATAGAAAAAAAAAATATCAAAAGAAATATGAAGAAAAGAGACAAAAAAAGAATGAAAAAGAAAAAAAAACGAAAAAAAAAAACGAAAATGGAAGATAATGGAACAAATAGATATAAAATTAAAGAAGCCAAAGAATTGGTAAAAAAAAGGATGGAAAAAGAAAACGGTCGAAGAAAAGATTACGAAAATAAATGAAAAAAAAAAATCCCAAAATGAATAGAAAATCGACAAAGAAAGTAAAAGAAAAAGAAAGCTATGAACAAAACGGAAGCAAAAAAGAAAAAGGAAGAAAAAAACAGTAAAAAAAAAAAGATAGAAAAAAAAAAAAAGAAAAGAAGTAAAATAAAAACGGATAGAAAATCAAAAGAACAAATAATAAAACGCTGGCAATGTATTTATGAGCGCATGCGCCTTTGTGCGCCTATGTGCGCGTGCGCACGCGGGCGCCTCTAAAGAGGTTTTCAAAAAGCCGCAAGTCGCATCCATTTTGCTATTTCTTCACTTCAAATCCTACCACTAGAATAAATAATAAGAGTCTTTTAAGGCAGAAAAGGCGTTATATCGATAAAACATGCACTCCATAAAAACAGTAAAAGATAACGAACAAAAGAAAAACAAAAGATTCCTGTTAAGACGATCTGAGTTAAAAATAAAAGCTTTTTCAAAGAAAATCGAAAAAGAAAATAAATTTACATAATTCAGTAAAACATACAAAAGTTCCGCAAACAAATACATAAGTACATTCATATGAACTTTAAATAATTTCTGTCTGAATTTTTGGGTTGAGGATTTATTACTTATACTAGTGTACTGTTACCATCAAAATTGATGGCAAGTAGGAATGTTTTATAAGTAATATGTATGATATTTTAAGTAATTTTCTTTTAATTCAAGTTCAAATTTTTAATTAAAAATAGTTCGTTGTTAACGTTAATAACTGAGCAGTGTACAATTTATAAACACATAAGGAAAGATATCCGTATATTATCCTCATAAATGTTACATATTTACAACACAAATTATGTTTACTGCAAAAGTTTCCAAAGCACAATATTTTTTGTGTAAACTTTGGAAGATCTGAATAATCAATGAAAGTCCGTATATTTAATTTGTAATTTCAAAGTTTGCTTATTTCTCATTCTACTTAGAGCAACATATCACCACAAACACACACACACATACACACGCACACAGATATATATATATATATATATATATATATATATATATATATATATATATATATAATTATTTATTTAAAAATATGATTCCAACACGCTACATAAGAGGTCTCATGTTTCAAAACAAGAGCCGAAACTTCAATATAATTATTTGAATTAAATTGAATTTAAGTACTAAGCTCTGTTCCATCTTCAAGCGAAATTTTTTTTGGAATCAAATAATTATATTGAAGTTTTCGGCTCTTGTTTTGAAACATGAGAACTCTTATGTAGCGTGTTGGAATCATATTTTTAAATAAATAATTATATTAATGCTCTACTTTTGTATCGAGCACTATTTTTAAAAAATAATAACTAAAATACTAGAGAACTTTTGGATTATTTAGCTAACGAGTTCTTTCCTATTTTCTATATATTTTCACACACACACGCACACACACTCGTATATATATATATATATATATATATATATATATATATATATATATATATATATATATATAATGAACATTGAAGTCAATACTCATGGGCGACAGGCTGTTTCATTAGACGCAATCGGCGGCCTGACGATTGTGTCTAGCATGATACAGCCTGTCGCCTCTGAGTGTTGACTTCAATGTTCAATTTTATATTTATATTTACATACGCTCTCCAATATTGAGCACTTTATCCCATAAATATGGCACACCTTAAAACTATATTTCTTCATATATATATATAAATATAATGTATATATATATATATATATATATATATATATATATATATATATATATATATATATGTGTATTTTTTTCTCAAGCGATTACCAAATTCCACAAGATTGTAACATAAAAACTGCGTTAAAACGATCCAGTTATTTAATTGTGTAAGTTTTTAATTGCTATCATAAATAATATAAATGAAGGATGTTGTATGCATAAAAATAAAAACTATTTCGATAACTAATCAATTATTTCGATAACTAATCAATTATTACAGGAATTCCCCCCCACTTTCTATAATTATAATTTTTAAAATTTAAAATGATTTTCTAAAAACGAACAAAGCATTCTTGAAGATATATGTGGCGTATTATATATACGAACCCTATCCGATAACGATATCAGTACGGATCAACAGGACCAAGTTTGCACGGCCCCCCGGGGTGGGTCTTCGCTATTTTGAACACTGCACTTCAATTTTTACGCGCATAAAAATATAAATATATATGTAGCATATCATATATATAGTGATTATTTACCGTCAGACTAATATCCTCATCTTTTTTCGGGTGCCGGTCTAACTTTGAAGGAACTTGGAACTGAAAAACTTTATTTCGTCTACGGGGCAACATTCTTCCCTTTCTGCTAAACATTTTCGACAATATTATGGACGACAGACTACTACAATGTACAGGGTTTAAAACAGGACGGGTGGCATTAATCCAAAGAATAAAGTTTTTTTTTTTTTCTAAACCATCCAAATATCCTTTCGTAATCGATAAGAATCTAGTTTCCAGTTCGCCCTGCGTTTGCGACAACTATAAACAAAATACAAGGCCAAAAGCTTCAAAAAGTTGGAATTTGGCTGCAGAAAGAATTATTCATGCATGGCCAGTTGTGCGTTGCATGCTCAAGAGTAAGAAATCTTATGAATTTATTCTTCGGTGTTAAAAATGGAAAAAAAGAAAGTTTGGTTTGGTTTCCTTTACTTTGTTTTGTTTTATAGCATATCAACCTCAATGAGTTACTTAATTTTTATTGCTGATATTTGTTTTTAAATGTATTGCTGGTAATATTGTTTAATGTATTAATGTTTGGTTTGGTTCGTTTTACAGCATATCAAAAATTTATTGGTGGTAATAATTTTTTACAACGTATTATTAGGTTGGTGCAAAATTAATGTCGTTTTTTGAGGTTAAGTTGAACGTCAAAAAACGACATTATTTTTGCACCAACCTAATACTAGTATTAAAACCTATTTTTCCATTTTCATAGTGTTTTAATCCTAATTTGGGATTAACTGTTTGCCCATAGCTGGGACCCTAACAGGTGCTACCACCCCGGGTCAGGGTGGACCTAGGAATACCAGCAATTAAAACATTTCTACGCTCCTCAAAACCTTCTGATCAGCGGCCTTGCTGTTGGACGTAGATTATCGTCTTATCCAGGACGGAAATTGTTTTCTAGGAAGTCTTATCAAATGAAAGAAATTATTAAACCGCGAAGTAGAGTTTTTGTTAAAGTATTTTTCCAATTCAATCAGCTTCTTCAAATTTCATCGATTGGTTTGCGAAATTGAACGAAACATAGAGTTTGTAAATCTCGACAAAAAAAAAAAAAAAGAAAAAGGTTAGTGATAACGTCAACAATATTAAATACGGATTTCAACACTTGTCAGCCTATTGCATAGAAATTCAAGTAGTAAAAAAAATCATACATAAAATGACACTGATTTTACCAAAGACTTCATTCAAGGAATTAGCACTGCTACAAAGGAAGCCAGTAACGAAAAACATTCAACAAGAACACCTAAATGCACAAAGCAAAAAATAAGGAAATCTACGTCACCCCCTATGACATGGGATGAATAGAGTGGGGTTTTGATCATAAACAAGAATACATACGAAGAAAAAATAATTCACTACTCAACGATGCGAACAGATGGAGAAAAAATGATAAACAGAAAATAATTACTGCAACGCAAATTTTAAAAAGGAGATTAGGAAATTAATTAAAAATTAAAACAAATTATGGTATAGACTGTAAGTTTTCCCTAAACCCTACAAAACACATATCGCCATGCGCTCCATCACCCCAGAAATAGAGGGCGCCCCTCGTAACATGGCGTAAGCCATAACAAAAGTTCTAGTCACTATTCTTGGAACAACCAATCCATCTGATATACAAACTCATGGCCAGTCGAGATATAAAATCACTTTGAACTAAAGTCCTAGTTGAAAAACGGGTAAATCTCTTAGAAAATATACTAACAAAATGAAAGATTAACCTCTGCCTACCAATAGCTAAAATAATAAAAAGAATCTGACGTCTGATCAGCAATGCTATTTCACATTTAATAATAATTTTTATGAGCAGAAATTCGGATTGCAAATGGGATCACCTCTCAGAAGAATGATAGCATGTATTTTTTTTAGAATTTCTAGAATTTGGTCTTTTCCAAAATACTTTACCCAAACAATCAATCAATCAATCAATATATATATATATATATATAGGAAGAAAAATTTGGAAAAAACAAACAAAAATCCTTAAATGCAATTATGTTTTTGTTTATCTTTGTTTGTTTTTTCCAAATTTTCCTTCATTCTGTCGGATCTATATCCATTTACATTTGCTTATATATATATAGATATATATATATATATGTGTGTGTGTGTGTGTGTGAACATAGAAGTCAACACTTAGAGGCGACAACCTGTTTCATGCTAGATGCAGTCCTCAGGCCATCAGTGGCCTGACGATTGCATCTAGCATGAAACAGACTGTCGCCTCTAAGTGTTGACTTCTATGTTCACTTTTATATTTACACACGCTCTATCTCTGATATTGAGCACTTTATCCCATAAATATAGCACATCTTAAGACTATATATATATATATATATATATATATATATATATATATATATATATATGTATGTATTTAAACCGGTGCGATGTGAACGAATAGAGTACAATTCCAACTTTCGTAACATTTAATTTAAGAGAGGGTTCAATACACAGTAGTCCAATATTCTTTATTTTAGGATATTACATCGAAAAAACATGTCAAAATCACTACACAATTGCAGTCGTGTTTCGATGCGTATCAATGCATCTCATCAGGTGATTGTAAATTACAGAAATAATATATAAGGATATCTCATACACACACACACACAGACACAGACACACACAGATATATATATATATATGTTAAGAAATGGACGAGGTCCGACAATTTATTTATTAAAGACATTTTTATTTATGTTTAACGTTGTTATTTTATAGATACAAGTATTTAAGCAAATGCTCTGTTTAAGATAAACAGTAGGTAAATAACATTTACCGGCCTGAATGGTTAAGGAAATTCAGCGTATATGACAGTTCGTTATAGGACAGGTTCGAACCTGTCTATGAACGAATATTTTCATGAAAATTTCTGACATTCAGGCCGGTAAATGTTATTTAATACTGTTTATCTTAAACAGAGCATTTGCTTAAATACTTGTATCTATAAAATAACAACGTTAAACATAAATAAAAATGTCTTTAATATATATATATATATTTAAAAATATATAATCATTGCAACAAACGAA